CAGGCCATGATGCAGGATTGACAGAGATGAAGCCAATAACAAAATCTGGATGATCTTCAGCAATTTTGACTGCTGCAGCTGTGTAATCACCTGTGGCAAGGTTACCAGATGAACTCATTTCAGCAAGCAGCAGAAGGCCCCTACCCCGAGATAAACCCTAGTACAGCATATAACTTCATATCAGATTTGGAGTTATTTTAAAGCTACCAATTCCGAACCACGGCAAAAGAACAGGAAATGCAAACCTTTAATTTCAGGCCATCCACAATTCCTGGCCCTGAAATAATATGAGCATTTACCATATCTGCCCAGTCCAATATATGGAAGATACCTCTGCAAAAAAGTGAAAATAACAATAAACAAATAAATAAAACATTTCTCAAGAAAAAGAAACTGAAGAAAAATTGACACAAAATGCAGATTAAGACCATTCTGACCCTTCATATTGCATTGTGACAGTGTTGCCAATGTCAGCGAACTTGCGATCTTCAAAGATTAAAAATTTGTGTTTGTTTGCAATCTTCATAAGAGACGAGCAAAATTAGGAAATATCAATCAGTACACATCAACTAATAATTTTTTTTGTTATGAACAAAATACAACATGCACAAATCTTTTCCATAAAAAGTTTACAATAGTTCTATTTGATGGATTGTTAAACAGAAAGAAAGAATTATTAAGAGAGCTTGGAAATGCAGGACTGCAGAGTCAAGAGAAAGCTTAAAATCTATTAGCAGATGGCCCATCCATTGCTTATGCAACAGTATACAGAAAAAATAGGAAGAATGACAGCAACAAGCCACGTCGTATTCCAATAAATTTGTGCTGACTATATAAGTCCTTCTAAGTCATTGCAATTTGCATCCGATCAAGCACTACATCTACTAAGAATGTCAATGAAGTTAAAACTTTATAAATCACATCCTACTATGATATTTTGATCCAGTTATCCTAATTCTAACTTTTTCTATATCATTTTTGTGATTGGATACTTCTTTAACTCTAAAAAAGAAAAGCCACAATCATGCAAGTAATTATTTATTCAATCTATTTTCAAATCCACTCCATTTGTCAATGTATTTCTTCGCTTTTACTTTATCCATCTAAGGCAACCACATATTTTTCTTAATATCCTCATTTCTACAACACTCATTGGCAAAATATATATTCATGAAAGAAGAGGCAACGAAACTCGAAGTTATCCTGGCAACTAGATGGGCAGGGGAGCAATGACAATTATGCTTAGAACCATGGCTCCTCATAATATAAATAGAACTATAGTCCAAATCATTAGCAATTAATTATTGATTTAAACCTATCTCATGCATGGATCTATATAACAGAAGAAATTAAAACTGTATATTGTTATTCAAGTGGTGTAGAAGTTCACAAGATAGAAATATACCGATCGAAGTTTAGATCCAAAATCAGGAGTAAAATCAGGCAATATATCCACATGGGTTTTTAACATGCAGATTTCAGGTCCAACCTGCAGAAAATTCAGAGAAAATTAACATGATGTTTGCAGGAACGTGAAATTGCTGTGTAAATTAGCTACTCATTTTTAGCCAGCAAAAATAAGCATAAAAAATTAGTAAATTTCAATTTATGATTTTCTTTTCTCACCTTGTCAGCAATGTCAAGCAATTCAGCAGCGGTGGCAACATCAGCAGCTAAACACAAGTTAGTCTCCTTCTGCACTATTATCTCAAACAACCTCTTTCCTGTTGGATTCTTTGCCATCTTTGCCCTCTCCCCATATGGAATTCTTTCTCTAACCTTCTCCTCAGCGACTGCATCTCGTATTGGCATCGCCACCTTCCGATTCTCCTCCAAAAATTTCATAACCATCTTCTCCGTCTCCTCTGAGACTCTCCCCTTCTCCTTCAATATCTTCACCAGTTCGGTTAGCTTCACCATTGGGTGCAGTGTTATCCCATTTTCAGCCAAATTCTCCCTCCCTCCTTGTTCCCTGTCTCAGTATTGTTGAGGAAAAAGAAAAAGCATTTTAAGGAGAAACTAAAATATAAAAATCATTCGTAATTGAACAATTTTAAACACCAAATTTTGTAGGTGTGAGCCAGTATACACACACATTTACATATGCAATATTAACCTATCAATGATGACGACAGCATCGGTGACTTTAAGTCCTGCAGCTCGGAGTGGAGCTGCCGTCTCGAGCACGGAAGCGCCACTAGTAACGAGGTCTTCAACAATAAGGCAAATTTGATTGGGAGTAAATGCGCCCTCAATGGCCTTGGCGGTGCCGTAATCCTTAACCTCCTTACGCCGCATGAGCATGGGAACATTAGACGATACGGAAATACTAGTGGCGATTGGGAGGGCGGTGTACGGCACTCCGCAGACGACGTCGTATCGAGTGGATGACGGGACGGTGGCTACGAGGGTTTGAGAGATTTGACGGAGGAGATATGGGTAGGAGACAGTTAAGCGGAGGTCAATGTAGATAGGAGAAGAGATGCCGGATTTCAGCTTGAAGTTTCCGAATTTCACGGCGGCGATATCATGGAGGTGTAGGATTAAGGATTCCATTGTTGTTTACAGTGTTGATGACTGAAACGTCCCTCTACGGCGGCGTGATATGCTCGGGCCTACCTTTAGGGCCGAATTCATATGGTAGGTGGCCCGACCCAATTTCTAACAAACTAATTTGGGCTTTATTTGAAAATTTTGAGAAATTTCGGACTATATTGCAATTTTAAAAGTTTGAAATTGCAATTTCGGACTATATTGCAATTTTAAAATTTCGATAATTTTGAGATTTTATAGGTAATCAATGCAAGAGTTTACTTACATTTAATTTCTGAATGTTTTGGTTGGTTCATCTCTAAAGACCGTGATATTTACGACTAATAGCTCATGACTGACCCCATATAGGATGATATATTCTTTTGCAAAATTCACAAAATTTATCAAAACAATTCTCGTTAAATAAACTTCATTTTGGTAAGTGACAATTTTTCACTCAATAAACCCTAATTTTGCATTATGTTAGAATTACAATTTCGAATCCAAACTCGAATGGACTTTTAAACTAGATTTTAAAATAATTTTTGAGCAATTTCAAGAACGTTATAAGTTAATAACTCATTTTTGAAAATCGCGAATCTACATATTTAGAACTTCCTAGACAGAACAAGATAAGTAGAAATTGTGTATCAATATTTTTCGTGCTCAAGTAAAAATGTTGTTACTCTTTATCGAGGTACCATTGAACTCATTCTCTTCACTCTTGGCTTCTCCCAATTTGTTTCCTAGTAAAGAAGTAATATGGAAGATGCAATTTTGGGTATGGTAGAGGTTGAATGGTAGAAAGAGAGATGTCATTTCAAAGTAATGGCCCTCAATTGACACCCATTAATACTCATATCCACTAACTGTACTCGATAGAAATTTTCAGCCTCACAACTTTTAACACATTTGGTCACCCTTGACAATTTCTGCGACATTGCTGTCATATTGATAGGGATAATTTAGCTCTCTTTGATGGTCATTATTTTAAAAAATAACGTTTTAAACAGTGGTTTTTTTGGGAGGATATATGTTAAAAATGGGAAAATGTTTTGAATTTATGTGCAAAATATTTTATTGCGTGAATTTCTGGTTGGAAACGAGTATGTAGAAAAAAAAGTTTTCAAATAATGATTGTTAAATAGGGGTTTAATCTTGGTGCGAATATATATTTATTTCTCTCTTACTTTTAATTGATATTAAGATTTGATGTTCAATTTTATTCGATTTGTAATCAATCTTGAATTGGTACGCAAGCCGAGTCTTAGTTATTAATTGCTTACTTGACGTTAATGGGGTCTTCGGAAAGATTGGCTTCCATCTAAGCCGTTAAGCATTTATAATGATGAAAATGAAAAGTTGGTTGTGCCAGAATAATGTGGTGAAAGGGTTGTTATGTGATAAATGTAATCCGCATGAACAATCCGCATGAACGTAATTAAGCACAACAATATATATGAAAAGATCCTACACTATATAAACCACAAAGAAAACAAGAAATGAAGAAGAAAAAGATATCCGAAGCAAGTGAAATATCAATCTTTCCTTAAAAACAAAATTGCCCTGCAACAGTACTAACGATTCACGGCACCCGTCTTTCAAGATAAAACGAATTCAACTTGTGATAGAAGCACTTCAAATCACAAATTCCAGCGAACTCGATCGAAATTTATCCTCTCTATAAGGAAAAAGATATGGAATGAATTTTGGAGAGTTTTTGCAAAAGATTTTATGCGATACTCAAAGCAAAAGTGATATGGATGTATTCGTTCAAAGAGTTCTATTTATAGAGGATGATGGGTTATGGGTGTAGTGTTTCACATCAAACCTCGCAACCTTACGAACAAAAGCATCACTTACTGTCGTTAGTCTGCCGCTGACCTCTTGCTCGAGCATTAGTGTCAAAATATTAAAAAAACCTTTTTCGTCTGTCTGTCGCTAGCCCGTCACTCGAGCGATAGGCGAGCGACGGAGTTAGGTAAAAATTCAGGCCAATTTTCCTCTATTTTCTCTTCCAATTTTAGACCGCAAATTCTTATTTATCCGAATGGTTTTGAGCTTTCAAATATATCGTGACAATTTACTCGACGATTAGACTAAGTTGGTCAATTTACATTTTTAATTTAACCATCGGATCAAGCCCGAATATTTGGCCAAAATTGATACGAAAGTTACTTTTTCCACATTTTTTGCTTTAACACTTAACCAATTTTCTTCAATTTTAAAATTTCAAACATAGTTTACTTCTGCTTCAAGTCAAGTTTCACCTTTCACCACTTCCCCAGGATAGAAAATGAAAAATAATGAGGGCCCATTTCTTCTTTGATCACAATATTTTGACTGAGGACATATTGCGCGAGAAACGTTTAGAAATGAAAAATGGTCTTTTCTTGTGGTCTTTTCTTGACCATCAGGTGTTGCAAATGATGGCCACGTATATTGAATACATGGCACTACTTGAAATCCTATTAATTCTGTGAACATTATCTTTCCATTATCTCTTCTTCTGGTTCAGACTGCTCTGCCCAGTTAAGGCTTGCTTGGAACGTTACAAACAGCAAAGCTTTGAGGTTGAATTGTGTTCAATCCCCACTTTCAGTAAATTCTTTTATGGGTTCTACTATTATTTAACTTTCATCATAATCCCTCTTCATCTTTTTATGTTATAGTAGCAGTAAGCTGTGTTTAATTGCTAATATTTTGTCCTATCAGACTTGTGAAGGTGAATCATTCAGTATGATTGTTTTTTGCTTTTGTTAGTGCTTCTTTTGTTGTTTTCTAATGGATAGAAGTTACTTTGGCATAGAAAGAAGGGTTGATTTAATGATGGATGCGCTGAAATTCTTGTAATTTCGATCACTGTAAAGAGAATCGAAAATGAAGTCATCAATTGCTGCTTATAGAGACGAAAGGCCATCTATGGACGTGTTCGAACCATCAGGAAGTGGGAATCTTGGAATGTCTTCTGTTAGTAGGAATGACAATAATGATGTGCAAGTACTTGAAAAGCAAGATGGAGTGTCTAGAATTTCTACCGGCAACAAAGGGGCTGTCAATAAATGGATGGCGTTTGAGGCAGAGCCTAGTGAAACTAAGATCACTGCTACAAGTGATGAGTCTAAAATTGCTCAAAGGACTGCAGAATGGGGACTTATGATTGGGGCAGATATTGGAGATGGTGTCTTTCGTATGGACTCGAAGTATTCAATTGGAGAAGGAGAAAGAAGCAAGAACTCCTCAGATAGATTTGGGGCCATATCTACGAGGACATCAGAGGAATTGAGTGTTGGATCTGAAATTCCAAGGGTATCTCAGGAGCTAAAGGATGCACTGGCAACATTACAACAGACTTTCGTCGTCTCTGATGCAACCAAACCTGATTGCCCCATTGTGTATGCCAGCGGTGGCTTTTTTACAATGACTGGTTACTCTACAAATGAAGTTATTGGAAGAAACTGGTAAGTTAAATATTTTTTCCATCCGTATGTGTTTACATTGAAGCATTTATTACTTGTGGATAAGGTAGACGGTATGGAAAAGAAGCTAAAATTTTATTTATTGTACTGTATAGTTTGGTACAATACTTCACACCAAACATGACGTTAATAAACTCCTGGAATTCTATGAGCGGAACTTCTACTCATCCTGATAATACAAGACCTCATCTTTAAGCTTTAGCACTTCGAAATATTTTCATGAATTCTGATAGAGATTCTTGTGAAATTTAACACATTTATCAATTTTCTAATCTCATCGCTTTTAGGGGAACTTAAGTGGCCATGATATTAGCACCTTAAAAGCTATTGTCATGAAATCAGCATTGGGAAAATTTTAGGAAAAAAATCTTAAAACATTTTTGGACATGTTTAGAACTTTTTTTGAGCATATGATTCTGATGAATTTAGGGACAAAATAACTCATCTATTGGATTCAAAATTAAGACGTTTCTCTATGAAAAGTGAATCACAAATGCTTTAGTTTCCCCCCCAAGTTGTTGTAGGACTTGAGAACTCTTTCAACTCCAAACAGCTTGTTATGATGACAATTGAATAACAGAGTAAGTGGGAAGGCTTGTTTTCTTGATTCAACTGGTTTCAAAGATGGGCTTAGTATTAGAGTCATTTCAAAGTTTTGGATTTTGATTAAATAAAAAGGAAATCAGGGAAGAAGTTGAAGGTAATCGTCATTTCCTTTGTTCAGCCGGTTCCTGCAGGGCCCTGATACAGATCAGAATGAGGTGGAGAAGATACGGAATGCAACAAGAACTGGGAAAACCTATTGTGGGAGGCTTCTCAACTACAAGAAGGATGGTACCCCTTTCTGGAATTTGTTGACAATCACTCCGGTCAAAGATAACAATGGACGAACCATAAAATTTATTGGGTAAAATTTCCCTTCATTGCTGCTTTCTGACTGCAGATTAGCAATTTCTCTAGTAATGAAAAATTTAACATTTTTTGGCAGAATGCAGGTTGAGGTCAGCAAATACACGGAAGGGGTAAATGAGAAAGCACTACGACCAAATGGATTACCCAAGTCATTAATTCGTTATGATAGTAAGTAGTTCAAGTTTACACTTCTCAAAACTTACTAAATTGTTTTTGAAATTTTATTCCATTTTTTCTCTTAGCTCGTCAGAAGGAAAAGGCTTTAGGATCCATCACAGAGGTTTTACAAACTGTTAAGCATCCACGATCTCACATGAAGTCTCTGAGTCATGACACCACTGCCGAGCATGAAAATGACAAGTTAAATCTAGATTATATGCTCCCTGGACCAGCTGCAATGGGTAATACAGGTACACCTGGACGAAAAATCTCTCAACTGGATTCAAGAAATGACTTGCATAGTAAGACTAATAGTCAGGGCAGAAGGTCTAGCAAATCTGGACGCAATTCCTTGATGGGGTCAGTCCTTTTTGCTTTACAGTTTCTACTTCTACAATTTATGCAGCACTGTCCTACATAGCTGGTAACTATCTTTCAAAGGTGAGGGATTGTACAAGAAACTCTACTTATTCAAAGGGAAGGCAAACTTGATCACAAATGACAGCATCTGTCTATTGCATAGCATTCAGTCTTGCTTAAATAATCTTTCAATGACAGCAACTGTCTATTGCATAGCATCCAGTCTTCCTAAAACAATACTTCAATTTTCTCCAGTTTCAAAGGGAGGTCTGCAAGTATGCAAGAAAATGAACCAAGAATCGAGCCAGAGATTTTGATGACAAAAGTCGTAGAACGAACAGACAGCTGGGACCGCGCTGAAAGAGAAAGGGATATACGTCAAGGCATTGACCTGGCAACAACACTGGAACGTATTGAAAAAAATTTTGTGATTTCAGACCCTAGACTTCCTGATTGCCCAATTGTAAGATCATGTCTACACGGCCAAGTTTCCATTCAATCTTTTGTTCATGTTGACATTGTTTTTCAGAAAATCATTACTTTTTTCCATGCAAAAATAGTCCACCAACCTTCATAAATTTCAGCTATGTTTTATGTTTGATATGGTTTACCAACGTGGCTAAGAGAAGTGTGCTATTCCTTTTTCTTTCTATTACTCTTTTGGAGATATCTTGCTCCAGATGTGTAAGAATGTGGTTTTTAACCTGCAGATATTTGCATCTGATAGCTTTCTTCAACTGACAGAGTATACACGTGAAGAAATTTTGGGAAGGAACTGCAGGTATGAATGTTACTGCTTTGTGAAACTTCCATCTTAAATGCTGTTCTTCCCTGTCCCTCATTGCAAGATGTCCTTTTTGTGGAATTTTTCTTGTTTTTGGCTTGTCACAGAAACATGTTGTTTCCTTATATAGTTGAGATAATTCCAGGTTTCTTCAGGGACCTGAAACTGATCAAGCAACTGTTTCAAAGATAAGAGATGCCATCAGAGAGCAAAGGGAAATTACTGTTCAGTTAATTAATTATACTAAGAGTGGTACAGTATAACATTCAATATTCTGAGGATAAAATTCAACGATTGCTATGGACTTGGACTTATACTTCTTTATGTAAATAAAAAATTGTAGGCAAGAAATTCTGGAACTTATTTCATTTGCAACCTATGCGTGATCAGAAGGTGCCTACTGTTTTTCATATATAGTTTCTTTGTTATTGACGCCAAAGAGTTTTTAGTTAATGGATACTGAAATTTTGTTTGTTATCTTTTGAAACGTTCTCAGGGGGAACTCCAATACTTCATTGGTGTTCAACTAGATGGAAGTGATCATGTGGAACCACTGAGAAACCGCCTTTCTGAGAACGCAGAGCAAAAGAGTGTTAAGCTGGTACATCTCTTGTCATTATCTTTTTCCTTTGCGAAGAACTTGGAGGGAGTTTGCTGGGATATTATCTATTTTTTTAATCACTTAATAGATATCAAGTACAAGAAAGGCAAAAGATAAGTACTTGCTGAAGACCCATGTTCATAAATATGTTTGTCCTCGCTGACATCAAATATTATTTTTCCAGGATTATATACTATTATACGTGAAATTACAATAGGAAATATTACTATAGCGGAATTTCTCTACGTGAAATCCTTCTGTTCCTTATTAGTGCCACTTGCAGTCTACCAAAGAATTATATACTTCAAATGCTTAATATTTAATTATTCTGAAATACATTTTGAGAAACTAAAATCCTTAAATTTTGAAGTCTATGGAATAGTTTCTGTTATTAGAAGTTCTCATTTCAAAATCCTCCCATGTTTGTTACTATATTTCCACCTAATCACTTATAATTCAAGATGTCTAATTATCAGTTGAATATTTCTTTTTGCCAGGTCAAAACTACAGCAGAAAATGTTGATGAGGCTGTTCGAGAACTTCCTGATGCCAACCTGGTAAGGTATTCCTTCCTATCTATAAATTCAGATAAAACTGTTAACCTGATTTTCACTAAAATCAAACTAATCGAATCAATTGTGGAGTGAATGGAAGAAAGGCAAGACTTAGATTACAGAAGGAATCAATTTCATCAATGATTTTCTACTGAGATCATTGCATTAATACAGTAGAAGTGTGAGTTCTTATTTGAGTTGTCACTAATGCAACTCCATGCCATGCCATGCCACGCCACTTTCAGACACCAGAAGACTTGTGGGCTTTGCACTCTCAACCCGTATTTCCAAGGCCTCACAAACGAGATAGTACTTCTTGGGCAGCAATAAGAAAGGTATAAACTTGTGAAGTTTGCATATTATTAATAGTTTAATCAATCTTGTTTTCAGGGTGTAATTGTTCATATCTAAATAGTCATGCTACATTATTTTGATTTGTGCTGAGATATGTTGTGTTTCATTACTTTTGGCACCAAGGGAGATGGAGAATCTTATGTCACAGTTCCAACTTTCAAGTATTCAACTTTTCAGTTTCTTTTAGATCGTTTGAAGATTGAAGTTCATGGTGATTTCTGCATAAATCACGAGACTTTTTCTAGAATGGAAATAGAATTTTTCATTATTATCTTATTGAGGAATGTTGCTTCTGTTACGAGCGGTACTTGTACTTGCTTCTGAAGCCTTCTATTTTTTGACTCCATGTTTTTTCCTTATTTATAGGGAAAGCATATCTATTGTAACTTTTGGTTTCGTTTGGAATAGGAGGGTAAGTAGGCTGAAGCAAAAATCAAATAAGAGATATTATCTTGTCCAATGCTGAGATTGGATAGATAGGATCGGAAACACTCTGGTTATATATATATCCCACCAAAAGCTACAAGAGACAGTGTTTATATAGAAAACATAGGCAAAGAAGAACCCTACAACTTGCATAAGGTCGTAAAGCCCTTAATTTGAAGTTCAAGAATAAAATAACATAAGAAAACAATGAAATAAATTAATGAAAATCAGCTTCTAAGTGTCTTTTGGACTCCATCATTCTCTTTGGATTAGAAAAGATTCAGCCAGTTTAGTACTTGGTTCTTCAATGTAGCTTCTGATGTGTCTTGCATAGCAGCATATTTGTCAATATTAAGTAATGATTGCATTTCTTTTGATAATATGTACTAAATAAAGATATAGTTATATTTGTTATGTCATGTTTCTGTCCCATGAATCTTCAATTTGATTGAAAACCAATCTGTTTTTCAATGTCCAGGAATTGAAAACTCGCTTTATTATTATTATTATTATTATTTATTATTATTTATTTTTTATTATTTTTATTTTTTTTGAATTAAACATAATAGTTTGGCCTCTTCATGCATTTAGGAAATCTAAAGTTCCATTTCATCCCATGATTTTGGAAATCACTACATATTTAAATATGTAGTGTAAGCAACTAGACAGAGCATATTCCTATTTCATATCATTGTATGAGTCCACTAATGCATTTGAAGATCGTAATTTGAAGGACTACATGCTGAATAACTTCTAACAGAGAAAGATTTGATCATCAAACATTCTGCCATCTTTTATCATGCATCTAACAGCTTTGTTCTCTACAAAAACTATTTTTATCCGATGTAGATCACTGAAGCTGGTGAAAAAATCGGACTCAATCACTTTAAACCGGTACGACCTTTGGGATGTGGAGATACTGGCAGGTATATTAATGTAATATTACTCACTGATTTTATGAACTAGGTGGTCCTTTGTTATATGCTGAGGACTTCCTACATATCATTGTCAGGTTGGAGTTATTACCACTATAATACCGTTGAAATAACAAAAAGATTAAACAAAAAGGGCAAATTAGACTGCAGAGGATATAGGTGATCAGTCAATCAATTTTCTACTAGATGACATACAATGAAAGGGATGCTCATACTTTTCATTTGAATTGATAATCTTAAACTTGAAAGGTACTTCACACAGTTTTTGATTGGTTCGTGACAATGTCTGTTCTCTTAAATTCAACTTAATACTTTTAAAGATTTTTAAAGTGAACATGTTCTCTAACCAGTATCCGCATAGGACTAACATTTTGTATCACTGATATGAAAGGCTAGTTCCAATTTATTACAGCTCAGCTAGTAATTTATGACTAAGAACCTCTAATAATCTTGTAACAAGATAAGCATACAGAGCCATCGAACCGTCCCAACCAGCAACCAGAGCTGTATGCATTATATGAGCAGAAAAATGTTTTTTCTTCACTTAGTTTTTATGGAGTTATTCATAAAACATGACATCATGAAATATAAATGATAATATTTTGCTGCCCATTAATCAGATTTAATGAAGGTACAAATATGTTTTCAAGACAACATCATATGATCAGCCTTAGGACATTTAACTATCTGTTTTAAGTTAGTCAATGCCCTCTACCCCAGAAGCATGTTAATTTTCTCAGATTAATGGCTTCTTCACAATAAAATTTCTTCATTAAGCTAATGTGTGCCGCAGTGTTCATTTGGTGGAATTAAAAGGTACCGGTCTGCTGTTCGCAATGAAGGCAATGGATAAATCTATTATGCTCAATCGTAACAAGGTATTTAGTGTTTAGTAAATTTTTCCCATTCTTGTATCATCTGAGGCATATCTTCATGTTATACTATATTGCTTATAGCATCATAACAGTGAATTCTTGACAGAAACTGAATAACCATTTTCCGTTGGTTGATTTACCTACATTTCCTCACTTTTTTCTCACCAGTCTATTTTTAACACTAAATTATGTAATTATATTATGCACCAACTAAAAATTTTCTTCTATGCAATAGGGTATTTCTCTCTCTCAAAGATACTATAGCATATCAGCTGGATTAACAAATAATTATAGCAATACAAATGTGGAAAAATGATAATACCTAAGTAAGATTGAAATCTGCTTTTACTACTCTCACTAGTTAGTAATAAAGGTAGTTCTGATTGAAAAGAAAGTGACAGGTGATAAGGATTAGAAATAAAGATATATTTCTACGTCATATGCAATTAGTAAATATTTTTGGTTCAAACCATTCAACTTGCCTGCATCTAATGAAGCTGCTGACAACTACTACTTTCCTGAGGTAGAGTGGCTGCCAAATGTTTATCTTCATAATCACTTGTATAGACAGATATTTGCAATTCAACCCTTATTCATTTCTGATTCCATTCTACTTTATAAATCTGAGTCTTTACATAGCCATCTTGATCTTACAAAGTCAAGTCCCTTATTAATTGTGCATGAAATAGAATATTAACATCATTAAGCAATTTGCAGGTTCATCGAGCATGTATTGAAAGAGAAATTATGTCGCTTCTAGATCATCCGTTTCTTCCCACACTCTACACCTCATTTCAGGTTCTCATTTCTTGTGGTCATCTCATTTTCTATTGAATAGTTATATTGAATATGTTGCTGTGAAGATATTACAGAAATTACGTGCACACAAACTAATTACATCATTTTCGCAATTTACTCTACTCAGATTTAGTCATATTCTGGCATTGTTTTTGGGGGTTATGGTGCACGGTATCCCTTTTGTCTATCCATTCTGGATATACCAGAGGGTTTTAATGTCGGTCCTTGAGTCATAAATTAAGTCATATTATTTATTTGGACTCTTTATTAGGATACAGTCTTAATAGCTAAAACTATGTTTCGCGGTCTCTGTCCTAAAAGAGCAAGGAGAACTCAAAATGTATGGATATGCATAATCATTATCTAGAACTATAATTCTTTTGCCTTTTTTAAGTCTTAAAAGTTTTTTATACAGTATAAATGATTTTAACCTTGAAAGGTTTCAGAAATTTGAAATCCACAACAAAACCGAAAATATGCTACATTGGATGTTTCATTATGCAGACCTATGTTATAACATGTAGCTGATTGACGTGAAACTCTACATCAGAAAGCCATTGCAACTACATCTATCAATCAACAACTTAATGCAATTGTGTAAACATCAGATGTCCCATTTTAAACATCTTTAAAAACATAGTTTTGATTGTACTTATTCTAATTTCATTTTGGTCGCTTATATGATTTTGTTTTCTTTGGATGATATAGTCTTCTGCATCACTTTCCACTGTGATGCTTCAAAAAGTGTGTGTGTGTGTGTGTGTGTGTGTGTGTGTGTGTGTGTGTGTGTGTGTGTGTGTGTGTGTGTGTGTGTGTGTGTGTGTGTGTGTGTGTGTGTGTGTGTGTGTGTGTGTGTGTGTGTGTGTGTGTGTGTGTGTGTGTGTGTGTGTGTGTGTGTGTGTGTGTGTGTGTGTGTGTGTGTATTACTTAATGCTTGTGACGTGATAGTTGGGAAAAAAGTAATCTTTATGCTGGGATCCCTCTTGTAAAAAGAAGAAAGTCATTAAGGGATGTGCATGGAATTGTGTCTGTGCTAGAAAATAAGTTAGAAAAACTGATGGGAAATAACATTTAGTTAGTCACATTGTAGTTATTTACTTCAGTATTATTTTTGAGGAAAACATGATACATGCATTTTTCTTAATTAAATTTGTATCTTGACTAGAGTGTGTTACAATTAACTCAATATTCCATCCTAGTCGAAGAGGCTAACCTTTGAATATGGTATCTGATTTTCTATGGTTGCATATTATTATTATTTTGTTAGAAACACTTCATATATAGTTCAAGTACTCGTCTGATGTCTCTTTGTCCTCCCAGACGCCTACACATGTTTGCTTGATAACAGATTTTTGTCCTGGGGGAGAGTTATTCAGAGTGCTTGACAAACAGCCCATGAAGATAGTTAAAGAGGAATCAGCTAGGTATTCCATTGCAAATCTCTATTAAACTATGTAAAATTCAGTTATCACCTTTATATGTTTGATGACTTATTGTTAACCTAAAACCAATCACAACTTTATCCAAGAAACCAGAAGCTTTTGCCTCCGGTTCCCTTCATGATATTGTAAATGAATTCAGACTCCTGATATTATCCACATGCCAAAAACTTCATGGTTTAATTACTTTTAAAAAAGGAAATATCTAAAAACTAAAAGATTAGAATAAGTTTATTCATAATCCATTTATATCTGATTCTTAGTTTGAATATCTTATCCATCATATCTTAACAGGTTTTATGCAGCAGAGGTTGTCATTGGCTTGGAATATCTTCATTGTTTAGGTATTTCATATAGATGATAACTTCGTAGATAAATTTTTGCATGCCACACTAAGATTATTTGCACAAGCATAATTTCATATTTTTTTTCCTTCGAACAATTTTGGAAGCTAACACTATTTGTTAAGTTGAAGGTATTGTTTTGGTTTTGAATTCTAGCTTCTGGTTATCGTAGAAAACTACTACAGAAAAAAATGAAGTCATTAAAAAGAAAAAAACTCCTATTAACAAAGAGTCATTGTATCATATAATCCTTTTTAGTGTTCCAAAGCTAGCATGTCAATAGAATTTCTCCATTCTCAAAGTTATTTGGACAGAAGCACTTAAGAATCTCTTACTTATAAGTTACTACCAGAAGCACTTAAGAAGCTCTTACTTATAAGTTACTACCATGTAAATTGTAAAATAAACTATTGTTTAGTAGCAGGGAGTTTCACTCTCTCACATGCAAAACTCAACATTCTTTTTTGGTTCTCTGTTCTCACATCACAGGAATAATTTATCGGGATCTGAAACCGGAAAATATTCTACTACAGAAGGATGGGCACGTTGTATTAACTGACTTTGATCTATCATTTAAGACAGATTGTGAACCCCATGTATGCTAAAATCTTCTCTCTAGCATATTTTTGCTATACTAAATTTAGAGAATTCTATTTGTTTATTTCTTTTATTTATACTGACATAATTATATTAAACCACATTTCTCAAGAGTTATTTATTTGGTTTGAACACAACTCTTATGTGCCCTCCCCCTGCATCCCCCCAACCCAAAAAATTATTTAAACCACTCTTCAGTTTTTTAATATTCACATTGGAATACTAAAATTCACATGAAAATGCATTGCACCTGAAGAACAAGGCACTCATTTGTTTTTTTAGAAACCATTCATGACAATTTAATTGCCATTTACTCCTTTTTAGGAAGTCTGTCCATAGTAATCACGTCACAACTCATAAATTTCTATCAGTTTATAGCTTTTGTGTTCTACGTAAGATCATGTTTCTTGGGTTTTCAGCTTGAGTTTTGTTGTCTTCTCAAGTGGTTCATGTCTGGTGTGTGACAAATCTATTCATTCTTCTTTACTTTTGGGATCGTCAGTATTGAGCTTCTATTTTCATGCTCTCTCTGAAATCACTTGTGGTCAAGTAAACAACGACAAGTTTGTGGCAATAAGTTTTTAAATATTTGATAAACTCCAATGGATACCTGAAAGGTAAAGAAGATGCTTGTTCAAATGTAGAACAACCCTCTGTAGTACTGAACTATTTATAATTCCAACGGAGGGAATTATTTGTCAAGATTCAAAACTTCCAATGTTATTCAGACCTTCTTGCTCTCTCAATGCACAAAATGAAAATAATTTCAGTGGTAAACTGTGTAATTATGCTTATTAATTCCAAGATCGATCAATTCTCAATTGTTTTTTTTTCCCCCACTAAAATTAACCTCATTTTCCTAGGTTTTAAGGCATCCACCGCCAAAGAAGAGAAGATCAAGGAGTCAACCACCTCCTGTTTTCATTGCAGAACCAAATACTCAGTCAAATTCATTTGTTGGAACTGAAGAATACATTGCACCGGTATGGTGTATTTTAGTTTCTGTAGTGATATTGTTGCTCCTCATAATTACTAACTAGCAAACAAAACACCTGTTAAGGCTTTTCAATAGTAGTATCAGGGGCATTGTCTTCTTCAATTAGAATTGAAGATCGGTCATTAAGAATAAGTCCCATACATCATAAGAGAAATTTTTGGGGCAAAAATATAAATGAATCGGTCTTATAATTATGCTTGTATAGATGATTTTAATACATATCCTTAACTTTTGATGTACCTTTATGGGATAAATAAGATCAGAGTGAAGATCAAAGCCAGACACCACCTCGTTAGCTCATAGTTCTAACTGGGAAACCAACAGTTTCTAGTTGAATCAGATAAAAGAGATATTCCTAGTAAGCTTGATGTTTGCTATATGAATCTATTTTTGCCAGATTTATGAGTTAGTTCAGTGCAGTATGCTGTTCATTTTCTTATTTTTATTACCTTTGACGCGCCTTAAGAACAACTGTTGTTTTTTCCCAGAGTTTCTCTGTTTATATAATACAAAAAGAAGTTATTATCTATAACATTAGACCGTTGCCTGCATACACGAAGGTACCTATTACCTACTGGTGGATTCATTTCAGGAAATCATAACTGGCGAGGGACACAGTAGTGCTATTGATTGGTGGGCTCTAGGTAAGTATATGGAAATAGATTTTTCGAATTTAGTTAGCGACTGTATACTTGATGTACTCCTCCATCAAATATATATTACACACTATTATATAGCAACTGCATACTTGAAAGTTATATCTCCCGCAGAAGAAAAAATATCTAGAGTTCACAAGATTAGCTATTCTGCATGGCTGCTTGTTTCGTTTATACTTAATCATCGAGGATGTTATACAATATAACTATAGTTTCTTACTTTTCTGGTCTCATGGTCACTTGTATTTGGAATTCAGGCATTTTATTGTACGAAATGCTTTATGGCCGTACACCATTCAGGGGAAAGAATAGGCAGAAGACATTTGCCAACATCTTGCATAAAGACCTCACCTTCCCAAGTAGCATTCCGGTAAAATCATGCACTCTGAGAAGTACATATATAGTTGGTAATATAATGTTGAGTTGCTCACCTCCGTTTGGTTTCCAGAACTTTTTCATTTTCATTCAGTGGTTTTTAAGTATACCAGTAACCATTGTGGGTTAAAATCAAGTACATATGGTTGCCTTCAATCCACTTATTGGCATCGAAGGAAACTGTCAATTTTAATGGTTTAGCAAGTTAATAACCTCCCAGTATTCAGAATTTTTTCTTATCGGTCTCAAATCCACCCTTCATGTATGGAAATGTAATACGAGCAAGTTAATTTAAAGGCAGAAGGCCTAGTTGGTGTTTAGGGTAAAATCCCACACCAGTTAAGTATAAAATAATAATCAACATATAAGTGTTTTGATTGCTAACAATGTTAACCTTTTTAGATGGAAGGTATTAGAGCTCGTAAAGCTCAAACGAACAATCTGGCCCATTTCAAGCTCAAATGAGCATTAAGATTCCATGATTGGTGTGCTGAAGATTATTTTTGTTCTTCGAGAAAAATGAAATTAAGCAAAAACTTACTTATGATTCTAAATAAATTTTATTGAAGAATTTAATCTGTACTGTCTTTTCCTTTTTCTTTTTTTCTCTGTTTGGTAAATTGCGATTGAAAAAAGGGGGTTAGAGTATTAGTTATTTGCATAGGGTACCTCAACTTTTGAAGAGTAACAAAATCAAACTTGTTGGTGAGAGATACCAACCTATGAAATTTCAAGTTTGTATGAGCTTAACATTATGGGAAGAATGAAACAGTTCATTTCAGATTATTCAACCAAGAAATCATAAACTCTTTATCAGTGTTAAAAGAACAAAAAACATTTTGACGTAATAAATCATTCTAACAGTATCGTCGATAGTGAGCAAAATTAGTATATGCCCATTATGTGCGTCAAAATTGTATGAACTAGCATAATGTCGTTTGTGTTGTCACCAAAGATTTTAATATAATGATATTACAGGTAACGCTTGCGGCGAGGCAGTTGATTAATGCACTGCTAAATCGAGATCCTGCTAGTCGTTTAGGATCTAATGGAGGTGCAAATGAGATCAAGCAACACCCTTTCTTTAGTGGAATTAAATGGTCTCTCATTCGTTGCATGGTATTAACTTTCAACCTCTTATTTTAACAAAATTGACCTTAAATATTTCAAAGAAAAGTCCAGGTTTCTCACTTTTTCTGGAACTTATTATACACAGAAGTTGTATATAATGTACATTATCTATGCTTTGCATGCAGACCCCACCACCACTAGATGTGCCTCTCCAGTTGATCGGAAAAGAAGCAGGTGCAAAAGATGTAAACTGGGACGACGATGGGGTGCTTGTAAATCCTATGGAGTTATTTTAAAGGTATGAATCAGCTATAAATTATGGAAGAAAAATATGATGAAATGGCTATTACAAGAACATTACACATTTTCGCCTATGTTAATGTACCTCTGTGTATATNAATTATGGAAGAAAAATATGATGAAATGGCTATTACAAGAACATTACACATTTTCGCCTATGTTAATGTACCTCTGTGTATATATTTACTCATGTAAAGAAAGGAATGCGAAGTTTTCGACAATTTTGGTGATTCAATTCCTCTGACCGGGATTGGCTAGACCGAATACAGGAGAAAAACAAGAAGTCATCAAGTCTATGTTGGGTTAAATAATTTTATTTCTTTTTTTTTCTGTGGGGTGGAGGCAGGTTAGCATGTGATACTTTCTGGAGAATGATTATGCTCAGTAACTTATATTCTACATGACCTTTAGATGTAAATGTAACTATATGAAAGTCTGAAGTTCAACGTATTCTTGATATATGGAGAAGTCTACGAAATAATAAAGATAAGTATGTTCTTGTTGAGTAGCGAATTTGATCCCTTAAACCTTTTCTATTTTGATGATAATAATTTAGAGATCCACGAACATGTCTGATTATGAAGAATTATACATTAATTTGTTTTTTTGCATAGATTATGGTTTTAGATGTTAGGTAGATTTAAATGGTTGAAGGACGAGAAATTATAATGATGGGAACTGCTAGATATACATAATTGTCTACATAATAGCGTCCATAATTACACGTGACACTGGATCCAACCTTTAATTCAAATCTCACACTTGTACATCAACTACCGAATGATTGTCACATCATATTATGGACACCATTATGTGTAATAATTATGTACAAATAGAATTTTCCTATAATGATTTACAGTTGTTCTTCAAGATGTTTTCCTAAGATGGTTTCTTAGTTTAGTGTAAATATGCAAGCTAAAATCTTTTATTTAAATGCTCGAGGAGTTCATATGAATAGTCCATCCAACTTCGTTTGAATCATACTTTTATGGGATATTGCTGCAAAGGCCCCAAATCATTCGAAAATGTGCAAATTATATCCAAACCTTCAAATCAAAACACCAAAGGTCCCAAACTTTTTAAAGTTGTGCGATAGAAGACCCCTAGACGGTTTCATCCCAAACTCAAAGTCAGTTAGTTGACCAAACGTAAACTTTTGACCACAATTTTTAATGACCAATTTGAAAGAGGCAAAATGGTATTTTTAACATTTAATTTATTTCAAAATGAAAATTTTCATTGAAGTTCATAAACCTTTCAAAAATATGCAATGCGGTCCTAAACCTTTAATAAAGTTGCAGCAGATGAACTTCTAAGGATTTAAATCCAAAAACATGCTCATCTTCCTCGATTCACCCAACCACTCAACCCCAACTCCTAAGCCCTAAATTACACATCGGTGCCTTAATAACTGTCGTTACTGCTGGATTTGAAGAGAATTTATTTATTCTCAGTTCTTTAAAGGTTATTATTAAGAGGAAATGGAGTTGAATGGACAGAGAAATTGAGGTCGACGGAGGTGGTAATGAAGTGGTGGCTCATCTTGTTGTGTCTACAGTTCGGACGTCAGTGGCTGTCACCAGATACACAAGTTTATCATAGGGAACCAATCCCATGAAGGAAATCTATCGGGTATTAGCAGAAATGAAAAAGAAGCGAAGACTTCTGGAAACCAGGCTGGTAAGGGATGCGTGCTGAGAGACGTTGAGGAGGAAGATAGCAAAAAATTGGCAGTTGCTTTTGCTCTAATTCTTTCTGAACTCTGAGCTATGACGAGGGTGGTAAATAGCATTATGATTTGTGGGGATTAGATGATATCTAAATTGGAGGATAGGGAGATTATCGTAAGGGATAACAACAGATTACTGGTTTCAATGAAAAATTGTGTTCTTGTGGACGGGGCAGACCCAAGATCATGATTCAGCGGGGCGTAATTCAGAATTACGTAAAAGACAATTTCAAATTAGAGCACAACAATTTTTCAAAAATTAATACTTTTTTGTTTTTTTCTTTTCCACAATTGTTCCTTATGATTTCTCAGAATTAAAGTATTTATTTAAGATCAAAACAAGTAAAATTGCAAAGCCCACTTAATACTTATGTCTTATCCAAGAACAAATTGTCAAAACATAAATAATAAGATTAAGAAAGAGTGAGGGATTACAAAATTTTGCTTCTTCAATATGTTCTTCCTCTTCTTCTCTTTTCAAAATATCGTACCCCCTTGATAATTGGAGTTCAGAAACAACTGGGTGAAGGGAAGGGAAGTAAGAACGATTAGGTAGGAATATCCTTGTATGAGCTGGGTCTTGATTAAAAATTGATGTCAAAGATTTAAGATTTTGTTGGGTTTGGGCTGAAAATTATGGGCAATTGTTAAAAATAAATAAATAAATAAATGGATAACATGTATTTTTAAGATTTCAGTATAAAAAAATCAGGTCATTAAAATTTTTATTCAAAAATCAAGTGCTCATTAGATCATTTCTATATGTATTATTAATTTGGTGGGGGTGAAGACACTATTAATTAGGTAGGGATAATTAATTTCAATTAATTGTATATTATTAATTGGAATTAACACCTGAATTTTAAAATAATTTAACAAGTTTGTTAGTTTTGAAATTTAGGGACTGTATTCAATTAAAACTTTTAATGATTTTTTTGAGATTTAAAAAATTTAGAGGTATTCAATTAAGACTTTTTGAGACTCTCTAAAAGTGTTGATGTATTTAATTGAGATTTTTACGGACTTTTAAGAAGTCACTAAAAGTTATGGTGTATTTAATTGAGACTTTTATGGACTTTTAAAAAATCTCTAAACGTTACGGTGTAGGAGTAAAACTTTTTGAGACTCTATAAAAGTATTGATGTATTCAATTGAGATTTTTATGGATTTTTAAGAAATCTCTAAAAGTCACGGTGTATTCAATTGAGATTTTTATAAACTTTTAAAAAGTTTTTAAAAGTTACGGTGTATTCAATTAAAACTTTTTTAAAGTCTATATAAGTTTTAGGGTATTCAAATTTTAATAACTTCTAACGACTTTTATAAAAGTCTCTGGAGTACTAACTTTTAAATGGAAAATACTTATATGAAATCCTAAAATTTGTCTCTCATTAATAATGAGATTTTGGGAGACTTTCACAAAAAAAGCATTTTTTTTACCAATCTTTCTTTCCCTGTTTCTTCTACGGACAGGTTTGATGATAATATATATATTTTTATATTGATTATATTTATTTTCATTTATCTCTCTCTTATTGTTTATTTCTATTTTTCATGAAAAATTAAATTGGATTCTTGTAATCATTTTTTTCCTTTTTTTCATTCATTTTTTTTGTGAAAAATATCTATTTTTTTTATTAAATTATATAATTATATGTGAAAAATTTATAATTAAATTTAAATATATTGACTTTTATTTATATTAAATTTATTGTTTATCATATATATACGTATAATATTATTATTATTTATTTAATTAAGGTCTTAAATTTTTACTCTTTTAATTTTTTTTTATTATATGGAAAGAAGGAGTGGAAGGAAAAGGGGAATTGTGGGAACCAACACATTCTATATGAGAATTTCACACCATTTACTAGATCCACATGAATTCTGTTTCAAATGAAAGTTTTTAAAAGTCTTTCGAATTCTACAAAAGTCTAAAAATTATAAAATGAAAGTCCAAAAAAGTTTACAAAAAACTTCCACTAATTCCAAACATATCTATAAAATATTCACGAAATCCACAAAAATCACCACTTAAAAAAAGCCCACAAAAGTTTTCAAAAGTTCTAATTGAATACACCCCATAATTCTTATAAGTAGGAGTTATATATTGTTTCCAAAAAAATCGAAAAATTTGAATTTAAAAAAGCCCAAGCATTTTGGAAATTTACTGGTTAGCATGTAGATTCATTCATTCATTCATTCATTCCACTTTCTTCTTTACAATAGTCAATATACCGAATCTTGTCATTCTTATTTTAACAACATTTTGGTCAAAAACTATCAATTTGAATCTCTTTAAAGGTCAAGAACGAAAATGCAACACCTACACAAACTGGTGGACAGTTTTACACAGATTATTAAAGAGACCCAAAACGAAGAGTTCTGTTTGGATTCCATGCACTGGTGTTATTGAACATCAATGTAACGATCCAAATTTTTATTGTATTTTAAATCGCTACTAAAGGTTAAAAATAATTTTTTACCAATCTGTTAATTTCTTATGAATGAATAATAATTGTCACTAATTTCAACGTAAGTAGTGTGATAAATTCCTTTTACAATTAGTACAACTAATCAATTTAATTGTATTTGCATGCATGGTAACCAGAAACCACAAACTAATTTCAAAAAAAGAGAAAATACACACTGCATGCATAGAACTGTCATTTCCTACCAACACGGAAGTCTCCCATTCTTATTTTTATTACGTGTTGGAATATCCAAGGTAGACAAGTGAAAAAAAGGTGATGTGACATTTGTTTGATCACATGCTTTTATAATTTATGAGAATGTCACATAAAATTACATAAAGTTAATCTTTGACATGAACGAAATAGTAAAAGCATATACAATCACTTTGTAACAGTGAAATCGGTAGGAAGAGAAATAACGTATAATTCAAAATTCTATTTAAAATGCAAATTACTTATATTCATCTGCAACAAAACATGTACGAAAATTTATTTATAAATAAATGTCTTTTGCAATAAACGTAAAATAAATAAAATTACGTGATAACTTAGATCTTTATTCAACGAAACAAGGCACAAACACACCATCGAACCACCACGCTCTAATACGATTCGATCTAACCTATGAGGGGTAGGGAAAATGGTGAGTGCATAGGAATACTCAGTAAGATATAAAAATTAATGATGCATTCCCGTATAAAAAATTAATGATGCGTTCACATATAAATTTTTTTTAAACACGTGTCAGAATGTCACACCGTCTCATATCTTTAAAATTTGATAAGAGCTCATGTCATATTATTGTACCGAAAATGACCATATCATTCATATTATAGCATTTCATATCATAACTTTAGCTTTCATGGGTACAAAATTCATCAACATGTAAAAAAATAATTAAATGAGACATATAACACTGCACCTTGATATCCTACATTGTTAACTTGCTTTAATTTTTGGAAACAAAACAAGAATCTCATTTCTCTCTTTTTCTGCCTCTATTGTCGCTGTGAGCCGTGCATAAATATTTTTGTGTCCCTTTTTGTGTAATGCATCTATATACACAGACAGTTATACTTTAAATTCCAAAGGATTGGCGTAATGTGGAGGAGACGTTTAGAAGTGGGATAGTTGTGGACAAGTGGAGGAAATGTAAACTTTACAACAAAATATCTAAGTCTTATTATCCAAAATCAATGCATTATGGTACACGTGGTGGCATCCTTGCAAGCCAAAGTTTTAGTTGAAAAAAAAAAAAAATTCAATTCTTAACCACTACTACTCACGTGCTCAGCTTTCCATAATTTATTATTATTATTATTATTATTATTATTATTATTATTATTTTTAATAATATGCAAATCGATCACTAGTCTACCACCAACCAAGCATTTTACACGTGAACAACCCAATCCAATGCAAACTCAAATAATTTGAGGCTATATCTTTGAACCTCGATAACTTAGGCTCCACCAATTCAAATTTATTTTTTCTCGAGTCTAACATGCATGATTAATTACGACCTATTCAACGAGCCCAATATTCATCTACTTATTATTGTTCCGTCATTATCAAAATTTTTTCAATGAAATTTCGGGACATCACAATCAAGATAGTTTTGATCGCTCCAAAATTATCTGAATTATGATACAGCAACATTATCGAAGATGGATCGTGAAAATGCAAGAAAAGCAAAAGACATTTTGAGTGCAGCAATGCATTCTACTCGCAACAGCATACACAAGCTGGAATAAATTAAAATTATGATGATGAAATTGAAAAACGTCTTTCCAAATCATAACCAAACAGAAGTGCGATTCTTTTCCACAAAGATCCCTAAATTACGAATTCAAAGGCATACTAAAAATTAAAAACAGAGAAATGTCGAAGTTGTTCATAAAACCCATATCCCATCAGCAGACACTCTACTTAATGAACTTAACACGTGCCACTGACTCAACAATTTCTAACTTTGATATGTTAAACTAAAAGTTCCAAACCTCTAATCCCCCACTTGACTGATGTTGACATTCAATTTCGAAATGAGAGCTTAAACTTTAACCCTCTTGCTACTGCAACTAGGGCACTTGTACTGCTTGATATGCTCGGCTTTTGCAGGTGTAATCTTCACGCACTTCCCATGGAACCATCTCTCGCAGATGTCACAGCAAATCCAGAATTCATCGTTACCATAGTTATCCCCACAAGCTCCACACAGTGTTGCTCCCTGTTCATCATCTTCTTCCTCCTCCCCACTGTCATCCTCTTCTTTGGGCACAGGCATCTTCACTGGCTTGGGTTGGGGCTCAGATTGCCGAGGTTGCTAAAATATGCAAAAACAGAACATGCATAAGTAATCATATGTATAAAGTTTGAAGACAAGGTTATGTAGAATAGAGCTTACCATTCTTCCACTAGATTTGTTCTTGCCATTGTTATTGGGAGCACTCGCTTGATCCTTTGCCTGCTTAACAGGTCCTGTCACAACTTCAAATACAGTTGGGACATCATTAATCATCTGGAAAAGCCTTTTCCTGCAAAACCCATTCCCAGCTAAAATCAGGAATCAAATAGTATTTAAAACGTCATCTCTGCAACAATTATACACACTAGTGCAATACGCGAAGACATTAGCCTTGAAAAACTAGCAAAGCGAACCTAAGATACATGTGGTTTTGAAGACTGTCTCAAAGATCGCAAGCAGCAGCATCATAAAAGGTACATAAAAATTCTGAACAAAGAACCAAATTATAAGATAAAATGAGATATGTCCTGCCCATTAGATGATACTGATACTGACCATTTAAGATACATAGGTTATGGAATTTATCTTTAGCATTTCAGAGAAAATATATATGATATATAGGATAAAAGAATCATGAACCTGTCTGCAGGATAAAGAACACCCAAAAATGGAAGCAACCAGTTTTTACATCCTGCGTTATGGGTGTAATCATTGACTAACACACACGTCAGGTTGTTAATTCATACAACCATTTGAATTAAAAATACCAGTCAGATATAACATGGACATTGAGCTAAATCAGTCACTGTCGTATAACTTCATACTTTGCAAAGTCGCATTACAAGAAACTACAGACTCATAAACCATGATGTATGATATTTAGCTGATAATAAACTTCCATATGTTTGCCAGTACATAAATACATCCCCACAGAAATTGTGCGACACCAGACTAATAAGCTAAGCAACTATGAAAGAGGAAAAAATATGGGGAAGAAAATTTGCATCTGTTTTGGTCGTCTGTGGCTGAAAGAACTTTATTTGTTCTTCAAAACAGCCTTTGAAGTACTCTTGACACTTGGAGTAAGTTCAGCATGGAAAAAGGAAAAGAATTGGGGAAGCAAACCTGTATCTGTTCAATCAGTCTTTGTAGCTGATCTAACTTTATTTATGCTAAAAATAACCTTACTATAAAACAGGAAAACATAGAGCTTAATAAATTACGGAAGATAGCCAGGCAACACAAAAAATAGCAAATGATTTAAGGGGGGAAGGTGATAGTACCAAGCACAATATTTTAGGGTTTAAATTCAACCAATTTATCAAGTTTTGGTAATAATTGAACAAGTCTTGTATATTCATGCAATTCTAAATAATGTTTTTTTTTCACATCTATGGTCAAGGTTCAAAAATTGAACCCCCATCCACCAAAAAAAAAAAAAAAATTAAAGGTATTCAACCCCCTGTTCCTGGATAAGTAACAGATCTTACAAAGACAACTGGAACGATTAAATTAAACAAACATTTAATCTTTATAAATTAGGTCATTCAACAATGAAAAGCAAATGAGAGCACATTTACATAATTGCTCTTCATATAAGTTGGTACACATTGGGAAAGTTTTAAGTTCAAAGATGAATATGAATAAGTAACAAAAACATGCACCAACAGAAAGCGGTTTCATCGACTCATCATCAGATATGGAGCAAGGACAAAAACTTCAAAGTTGCAATTTGCAGATGCATAGTGGGAAGCGAGACAAAATTAAAGAATTTGTAGTCTGGAGGGTTTCTCATAATTATTGGAGAACTTAGTGAAGAAACATGCACAATAATGCAATCCAGAAACGCTATTTGAACATTAGAAAAGAAATGTTTTATTGCAAGAAAGGTGAATACTGAGTGGAGCAGGGATCCATTGACATGGAGAACACACCAGTTCTATATATGCACACTTGCAAAGTCAACCAAATAAGCACAAGTATGCAAATAGTAATAATCATCAGCTTATTGAATTAAACCAAAAATTTGAAAATAGCTATAGCTCAAAACAACTAATTACAATTACACCCAAAAAAAAAAAAAAAAAAAAGAGAGCAGGGATTCCAACATAAACTCCAGCAGAAACTGGAGAAGAAAAAAGAGGGACAAACGTTATCTTGCATGAAATAAGAAGTAAAGGACCAAATATGCAGACATCATTAACTATAACATGATTCAAATCATAGTTGTAATCGGTATTGTTCAATTAGCTAGTCGAAATGTCAAGCAGATGGTAGAAATCCATTACAATAAAAAGTTATTTCTTAAATGTATAGCACCGCGCCATGTAAAATAAGTTCACAAATAAACCAGGAGTTAAAAAAATATAATTACCTTTCACTCTTGCCAAACCCAAAGCGTGCACCAAAGTAAAATGCAACGGAAAGCAGCCAGGAGTCACTGTGAACTGCAACAAGTGATAACCAGTCCTTTTCTTGCATCCCATCTCTAGCAAAGTTTATTCCCAGTGCTGGTTCAGGAAGTTCAGGAGGCACCTCCTCAGCAGGCAAGTTGACTTCCCATGTCTCATTTGGAAGTCCATAAAGACAGAGGTTCTCCTTTTCTGTAAACATCAAGGCAGTCAAAATAGAAACGAACTCCATATAATCTGAATTTTCTTCGTCACTTACGTATTTTAAAACCGTTCAACTGCGAAAATAAGATAATAGAGTAAACTCCAAGCCTGCAATCACTAGATATCCATTTTATTCGTAAACTAATATGATCCTCATTAATTTTTTCTTTTAATGAACATGAATTCAGCGGTAAGGGTGAAAACATCATTAAAATGACAACATGCCTCTAGGCAATTCCTGACGAGAGAAAGAAAACATGTTGATCTAATAGAGTAAAAAGGTGCAAATGAAACTATTTCTGCACTTCCATACGACAATTATTATCAATAACACAAAACAGTACCAGTCGAGTATCTACTTCAACTAAAAAAAAACCTGAATTCCCATTGTTGACAACAGCAACAAAACAATTGGTTAATACCTATCATAGATGGATCATCCCAGTTTTCCAAGGCGTACTTAGCTATTTTCCTGTCCTTGAAAATAATACCCGCTAATGCCTATATAAACTAATGATAAGAAACATAATACATCATAGAATATTCTGAAATATAAAGAGAAACAGATTTCCAAAACAAATCAAATGAAACAAAACAATGGTTCACATTCACCTCCAGTTCAACACATGGCTTAAGCTACCAGTCTTGTGAACAGCATAATTAAAAAGCAAAAATGTCTAAAACACTGAACTAATATCCTGAATGAGTAGATAATGTTAAAAAGCAATGCCTAAGTAACACAGGAGAATAATATTCGACCACCAAAAAAAAATAAAAAATACAAGTANGTTAATTATAACAGATAGTAAAAGTAAAATCGCTATAAATATTTTGATCGCAAGAGAGATATATTGGAATCTGAGAGAGGAAATTACGGATGAGAGTGTGTGTGTGATAGAGATGAGGGGACTGAGGAGAGAGAGAGATAAACAAGGAATGTGACGTGGTTTTGCAGAGGTGTCAGTACAGGCCTCTATGGGTTAATTTCATCATTAGTCACTGAACTTCTAGTGAAATTTCAAATGGGTCACTAACCTTTAATTTTTTTTGTTCGATCTAATGGTTAAACTTCAATTCAGTCAACATCCTAAGTGAACATTAAAAATTAATAAAAAAAATTGACCAAATATATATGTCACGTCGAATGACATGATTAAATAGCATATTTAACTAAAAACAAAAGATATCAAAGAATTTGTAGTTATGTTTAATATTGGGACTAACAAAATGACTAATATTTAAAATGAAATGAAGTTGATTAATTTAATTGCGGGAAATTAAAGTTAAGCGACTTAATTGACATTTTACTGAAAGTTCTGTGACCTTCAATAAAATTAATCCAACTTCTAGTATTTATCAAGGGTAAATTGCATGATCAGTCTCTAATCTATACAGTGAGCCGCACACATATTTATTTTTAACTACACATCCACGTGAAGAAATACTTTTCAAAAAATTATTTCTCAAAAAATCTTTATCAAAACGAGAGCTAAATAAATAATTTATTAATAATATACAATTTTATTAAATTTGATGTAGGATGATCTGCATAGAATTCTTAGTACTTGCGGGATTCTGATAATATACAATTTGATTAAATTTGATGTTGGTAAAATTTCACTTCTATAAGGAGTCCTTTATTAGCTAAATATATAATTTAGCAATAATAATAACTTTTATTAGTTCTGACGTAAGACAATCCGCATAGAATTCTTAGTACTTGCAGGATTCTAGCATTATTTAGTTGGTAAGATTTCACTTCTATGAGGAGTCCATTATTGATTTTCCCTTTTTCTTTTAGAAGTTCTAGGCCCCGATTCCCATAGATTTAAGAATGAGAATGGAAAATATACTCGTTATGAGCCTTACATAAGAGATAAAAAAATTAAATACAGTGACTTGATATGATGGATAACAATCAGATTTTTCATTTTTGTGCCCAAAGAATGATAATTAAACATGGGCTTATTTTTTCTCTAAAACTGCTGATTAAAAAATTATGAACGCCTGTACAAGAAGAGAATTAAAGATTGTTTATAACCACAAATCGAATTCATATATTTAAGTTATTCAATTTTAGACTTCAAATCATTACAAATTATATATTGTTCTTTCATATTGTCTCATTTGAAAAGAGCAAAGAAACGAAGAGAGTGCTATGTGAATATAAAAATGAGCACCCATCTTTTAGTAAAAATGATTTGGAGCAATGGTTTCAACAAATGTTTCACTTATCCATCAACTAATCAACGATATCAAATGTTTTAGAAGATTGATATAATATTTCTCAGGAAAGATATAACAAATAGCAATATTAGGAGGCACAAACAAGCAAAATATCTTGAGTTAAAAACATATTGTACGAGTGATGCCTCTACATTTATAGAAATTGAATTGGACTAAAGAAATGATCCAAACTAGAAAGAGAAAAAGAGTTTTTCATAAAAATATTTCCTAAACGCGATGTTACAATATTTTCTCTCTTAAAATTCATTGGTATCGCCTCCTATAATATCAATGAGTTAAAGAAAGAGTGCATATTTTGATGAATTAAAGAGATTGTTGCACTTGGTTGCACACGAGTTTCATAGTTGTAGGAATTGGTTGTATCGATGGATCCCTTTTACACATAAACTTTCGTGAATTTATTGGTTTCGCGCTTTTCATTCTATTCAATTTTTATCTGTAATATCTAAAACATAGGAAATTTTTAAATATATGCCAGTGGAGATTTGGTCATTAGAAATGGGCTTTTTGTAAATTCTAAAGCTGATCTTTGGAGAGGTATGATAAAAAAGTATGTTTGTACTAACCGAAAAGAATAATGTTATTTGCAGTCGTCCTACGTGATATATATGTGGCGATTAGTGATTTGATATATTACTCGATACATCTATGTCACGTTGGACGATTATGATAGTGAAGGCCTACAAATAGTATTATTCAACAGAAAAAATAATCACTCCGAGATGATCATTTCATTACCATTCAGAAGATTAAACGAAATGGCTCTATTTTAAGGTCAAATACACTGTAAGTTATCTAACTTTGAATAGAGGTGCATTTAGGTCACTCACATTCAATTTAATTCAAATAGATCACCAACTTCAATTTTCTTTTAATTCTAGTCACTGATCTTCACTTCTGAGCAGTCAAGTCACCCAACTTCCCCTTACTTGCATATCTAGTCGTTATATGAATTGCATTAGTTACTGACATGAACTTTAAAACCAACATATGAGTTTTGTATATATTTACGTCACACAACTATCCACAACACCTATTTTAAAATGTTTTTAAAACTGCTTATATATTAAAAGAACATTTCTATGCGTCAGCTGTTCACTATTTTTAACATCTATCTCAATATAAACTTGGGCATCACAATTTATGCCCTTACTGAGAGGAATTTTGATTGGATTTTAAGCAATTTCTTCACGGTTGGCAAAATACAAGTGGGACCTAGTGCTGCCATTTTTTATTTTTTTACTTTTTAACCAATAAATTATCACCTAAAACCCATTTCCAAATATACCCAATTTTACATGGAAAAAACTGAATGTACAGAATTATTTTCCACAGACCCTTACATTCGGTGGATCCCATGTGTATTAAAATATTGCAAAAAAATGACCCACCTGCCCTAGTATTTATTTGTTCTATAAATGTTCTGTACCTTTTTTTCTGTACGTCTTGCTTTGTTCATTTGACATGGTCAAACAAAGTGATTGATTGAAATGTGTACAAGTAATTCAAAGTAAAAATAGAGGTGATAGTCTTTCCCCACTAGATTTCAATTTGAGATGATAATTTATTTCTGGTGAAGTCAAAAAAGGTGTAGAAGTGGGATCCTTTTTCATTGGTAACGGTCAAAAAATTAATGGCTATCTTGGCAAAATGGCTCCCTCCCAACCGGGGGCTAATAAGCCCAATAGATTCACAATTTAAATGACAATTCTATACTACACTATATAATATAAGATTACACCCCTTTCTCTTTAGCCAAAACCCCATATCAAAATTCTAATTTCTTGAGAGAAAAATTAAGAGTCAGAAGAGCACCATCTTAGAAAGCAACCATATCAACACAATCAGACTAAGTTCAAGCTCAAATTGCCAGCACTTATTGTACTAACTAATCTTCTCAAAATTTACATCTTAACCGTTCCGTCTTTCAACTTGCACGCAATATCGAAACTCAACCAACAACTCCCTCTTTTACACCATACCGTGTTGCATAAGCTCAACGATACACTGGATGAACTTGCAGCCAGTCGATTACAATTTACAGATCAGAGATTTAGTACACAGAAGCTCAAGTCGATGGATGTATTTATAGAAGCGCTCTTAACTCAAATATCACGCCTCAACGAAGCTATTTTCACTAAATTAAAGAGCCCACCAAGGTTGGTTACAATGATGTTTTTGTTGATATATGTCTGATGAAGCCAAGCTTTCTTTAGGTCTTCAAGCTTCCAATCGGTTATTCGCCTAAAATGGGGTCAGATGAACTTTACACTCTGGTTGGAGGCCATTGCTTAAGGTATAAAGAAGAGTTTGCAAATTACCTCTCGTATGATATATAGGAGGAGAGTGTCCTGTGGATGATGTATTTGCAGAGAGACTAATGCTTAAGGGGATGCGAGCCACTCCCAAGAAGGCGGTGCCACCCTAAGTTACCAGCTAATTAGAAAGAGCCAACTATATTTCCAGACAGCCTGTGGTCTACCCTATCAGACAAGGTGGCTCTTTGGCAATGGAGGCCTTGATTTTGGGATTGACCAAGTTCTTGGTACAAAACCTCGTGGTACAATTCGGATTGGACTTGACATTGGAGGTGGAATCGGTACATTTTGTTTGGAAAAATAATTAGTTGCAGCAGTGATCAGAACAATATAATGCAGAAATATAAAACTTATCGTCCGATCGAGTCTCGTGACAGCTGCTAGGACGAAGGAGAGAAACGTGACAATCATCACAACCCCAATGAATCTAGACGGTCACTTTAACAGCTTTATCGAATTATGGGGTTTGATACCAATTCATGTTAGCATTTCACAGAGGCTTCCATTTTTCGCGTACACTTTGCTGCTAGGTTTCAACCGTGACCCGTCAATAATTGCTGTGACCTCCGTGGACAATCACTCCCAGGATACAACGATCGTAAACCATTTATGCAGCAATCACGAATGATTTTTCTAGAACTCTCAATTGTACTCCAGAATAGGTATAAAAACCCGAATATAAGAAATTCACAATATGAAAAGAGTGATTGATTCTATTTTCTTTTTGTGTGTCTTTTCCCAAAGCAAGACATGGATTTATATAGGCAAGATGGTAGTAACAGTCTTCACCATATTAACGCAGAATTTTAATGACTGAGTAGTGGGTGTTTTAATGGCAGTTAGTGGGTTGTTGCAAAAACAAACAGTCATAAAATACTGGCTAGTTTTACCCATTGAATAATGAAGAAAAAAATATTTATTTTAGTCAAGAAGCCCAAGGCCCAAATCAAGACATTTTAATATTTGCGTAGGGAGTGATTCGAACCCCTGACGTCCCACACAAATGTCACATTTCCCACCACTTTGGCACTTTATCTAATTTGATTATTTCTTTCATATTTTATATTTATACCATAAATATATAACACATTTGCTGATAGGACGAAGGAGAGAAACGTGACAATCATCACAACCCCAATGAATCTAGACGGTCACTTTAACAGCTTTATCGAATCATGGGGTTTGATACCAATTCATGTTAGCATTTCACAGAGGCTTCCATTTTTCGCGTACACTTTGCTGCTAGGTTTCAACCGTGACATTGCTAAGATCGAGTGGTATTCCTCGGCTCTGCTGGAAAAGCCGAGGACCTGAGCTTGTGGTAAGAAATGAATCTCAGATTCATGGAAGGCACATAAGTTTATAGAATAAAAAGAATTCTGAGACACTTTATGTAGCAAATTTTCCAAGAAAAGTTCATTAGGAGTAACATCAGAAAGATTTCAATAGAAAATAACACAGTTTCGATCTTGGTACAATCTCTTTGACAAACGAATAACGTTGAGAAAACGCAACACGAACAATTGAATCTCAATGAAAGGGAAACTCAATGGTTGATTCAGTGATTTCCCTAGCGAGTGATTGTTCAACAATGGAAGTCGACTAGTCGAGCCTTGAACCAATTCTATGGCTAGTTTATTCGTATGAGCCATACGGGCTCCTTGCTGGACCACTTTTCCTTCCTTCAAACCAACCCATTATAAGTTCTTGCGTAGACTCCTCAAAAACGGTTCATCTTAAACATGCTACACATCGGCATTCCGTAAATCAACAAAATATTTAAGTTGATCGATTGAGTGGACCAAGTTGAAATAAAAATAAAAGTTTATGACAAAATAATGAGAAAAGGTAGAAAAATTAAGCAAATATTTTTGTTCCAATTGATTACCCAGTCTTCCGACCCACGTGACATCTTATTCAAGGCTCTGAGGCCCCATGCCAGACATGGCCCAAATGCTGGTGCCAAAACTAATATGCCAAAGTGACCTTGTAATCGAGGCCCAATCTTCTCCCGAGGTACTGAGGCTCTAAACAGCACTCTTCCCTAGAGATCCGGTCTTACACAAGGATCCTTCCTAAATGATTGATGGGACACTCATCATAGAGCGCAAATGGCTTGTCTTGTCAACGTAGTGACAGAACCGCCAATTAATTAATGTGTAGCAGGTTAGAAAGTCAAATGTGACACATATAATTGGACATGTAAACTTACGAGATGAGGTCACGTGTACTCCCAACCAAAGGCCACGATCTAAATAGTAATACTATAAATACTCCCCATGTATCTCTCACAAGGGCAATACAAGATTCAACACAAGAATAAATACAACATTCTCTACATTTCACTCTCTTGCAACATACATGAATTCATACACGCATTCTAAAAACATCGATTGGTAATTATTGTACAATCGTTATGTAAACATCTCGCCGGATTCCGAACGTTCTCGTCCCGTCCCTTTGAGCTGCTCACACGCCCTTAATCCGTCCCTTTGAGACCGTCAATGTGTCTTAGCGTGTAAGACCAGGCTTACGTGTGCGCGGGTGGGTCCGGTATCTGTTGACAACATATTTTGGGGTCAACAATATCTATATATGTACATGTGTGCACGCACATACACATAACTCGATACTGCAGTAAGAAAGGGTTTTATGTATATCGCTTCACAGCAATTTGCACTAGCAGCTTCGGCCTCAAGCCTCCTTCCGTTGTTTACAAGCAGATGCGAACCAGTCAAGGAGCTGGTTTCTGGCCACTTGCGTGGAGGCATAATAGTTGCGAGATTGGCAGGGATAGGCCTTGAAACACAGTTAGTAGTACTGAAATAAACCCCAAAAGCATCAATTCTGCAAAAGAAAAAGAGAAGTTCAAAGAAGAGAGATTAATCAACTTATCAGTCGATTGATTGGAACAATCCAAAGAATATTAGAATGGGAAAAAGGAAGGAGAGAGAGAGAGAGAGAGAGAGAGAGAGAGAGAGAGAGAGAGAGAGAGAGAGAGAGAGAAAACAAACAAACCCT